CTATAGGCATGCGCCACCGTGCCCGGCTAATTTTTTCTGTATATATTTTTAGTTGTCTAGCTAATTTTCTTTCTAATTTTAGTAGAGACAGGGTCTCGCTCTTGCTCAGGCTGGTTTCAAACTTCTGACCTTAAGCCATCCTCCCGCCTCAGCCTAGATGTGAACAATTTTATCATTAATGTCATCTAGCAGTAGTTCTCTGTATGTGCAGCTAATATGAGGAAGCAAATATTTAGTATGCTAACACAATATGAATGTTGCTTTTTGTATGTTGACAATACACACATAGGAAACTTTCACAGTAGAGATCTCTAGCCATGGTGTAACATTTCGAAGTTCTAAGAGGCTGCCTAGGGAATCTATATTTATAGTATAACTCAGCACCATAGACAGGTGTATGGTCTCAGATTATTCTGAGGAGCTCTTTGTAGAAATGTTGCAGTGGGTTTGGAAGAGTAGTCAGGGAATGAAAAAGTCTCTTTCTTTTAGTGACTTCTTAGAGTCTTTCATACTCTCTTTTCATTTGTAATGGAAAAATAGTATTAAAATAATACTAAAATTTTGGGGGTGTTGTGGTGACCTACAGTCACTTCCCGAAGATCACTGTCTACTCAATGGAAGAAACTGAATAGTAGCCGCCCCTATGCTGATATACACTAAATAAATGAATGATATCTGTCTTATAGGTAAAAATGAATGATAACTATTCATTGCTTTTATATTCAAAATAGAGGCATTGCTATATTTTGCAAGAGAGAGAGAGAAAGAAAAGAAAAGAAAAAGGGGAAGGGAGGGAGGGAGGGAGGAAGGAAGGGAGGAAAAGATTGAATTCTGGCATGACAGCACAAGAACCTCTGCAAACCTACTCCGCAGTAAAACTGGTGAAAATTATTTTTAAAATAGCTATTTAAATCTTCTAGGAATGGTCCTAAGGCCATAAGGCAAATGAAGAAATATTTATTGAAGAAAATGTATGAAAATGTAGTAAGAATTTCAATCAAGACGCCATCCCGTCTCCTGTATCCTAGCTCAGTGACATGGAGATTACTTTCCAGACTGCTGTAGCCAAGAACACAGGGCTCACTCTCTCTCCAGCTCCTAGCCAGAGGCTTTTGTTCTGGAAAGAGAAGGATATCGGCATTATTCACACTGCCCGCAACTACCTGTTGCTAAAGCAAAGTACCAGTTGTATGCATTTGAGAGATGGGGCTTCCTTTCTTGTTCCACCCCCCTCCATGTGAAATGAAGGCTGTACCATTGATATGGCATCACTGAAAATATTGAGATTTAATGGCCCTTGTTCTGTCTTATAAGGTGATGGTTGCACACCAGGAGAGGCAGGCTTAAAAGACTTCAGGCTCCTATCTCCACCTCCACTGAATATCGAGTACCTAAAGACAATACTCCCCAAACTGATCGACAGATTAAATGTCATCTCTATCAGCATCCCAGCTGACTTCTTTGTAGAAATTGACAAGCTGATTCTAAAATTCATATGGAATTTCAAGGGCCCCAGAATAGTCAAAACAATCTTGAAAAAGAACAAAACAGAATTCATACTTCCCAATTTCTTAACTAATTACAAAGCAACAGTCATCACAACACTGTAGTACTGGCACAAAGAGACATATAGATGGGTGGAATAGTTTTGAGAGTCCAAAAATAAAATCATGTGACTATTGTCAATTCAATTTCAATAAGGGTGTCAAGACAACTCAGTGGAGAAAGAATAGTCTAGGCTTTTAACAAATGGTGCTAGGAAAATTGTATAGCCATATGTGAAAGAATGAAGTTATACTCTTAACTCCCACCTTATAAAAAATTAACTCAAACTGGATCAAAGACCTAAATGGAAGCACTATAACTATAAAACTCTTAGAAGAAAACATAAGAATAAATATTTGTAACCTTGGATTAGGCAAAGGATTCTTAGATTTGACACCAAAAGCAGGGACAGCAAAAGAAAAAAAAATAGACAATTTAGATTTCATCAAAATTAAAAACTGTTGTACTTCAAACAACAACATTAAAAAAGTGATAAAACAACCTACAGAATGGACTAAAATATTTGTAAATCATATATCTGGTAAGGGACTTCTGTCTAGAATATATAAAAACTCAACTCAGTAATAAAAAGAAAAATAACTCAAAAACGGGCAAAGGATCTGAATAGACATTTCTCCAAGGAAGATATACAAATGGCCAAAAAGCACATGAAAAGATGCTCAACATTATTAGTCATCAGGGAAATGCAAATCAAAACCACCATGATATATGACATCATCCCCACTAAAGTGGCTATAATCAAAATTTCACATAATAACAAGTGTTGGCAAGGATGTGAAGAAATCAAAACCATCATACACTACTGGTAGGAATGTAAAATGTTAAGCCATTTTGGAAAACAGTTTGGCAATTCCTCTAATGATGAATCATATTGTTAATATTAATATAAACTAGAAAACATTATACTAAATGAAAAAAAATCCAATGCCCAAGAACATACACAATTTCATTTATATGAAATGTCAAAATAGGGAAATCTTTAGATGCAGAAAACCATTAGTAATTGCTTTGGCCAGGAGAAGATGAGGGGATAGGGGAAGTGATAGCAAAAGAATGGCAGGGTTTTTTTTTTACACACACACACACACACACACACACACACACACACACACACACACTGGGGGGGGGGTTCTTTTTGAAGTGATTAAAATGTCCTAAAATTGACTGTGATGATGGTTGCACATACCTACAAATATATTTTAATACTAAAAAACAGTATTTTACACTTTAAATAGGCTAATCTTATGGTATATAAATTCTATCTCCAAAACGTTGTTAAAAAAGATGTAAAGAGAGACATAACCAGACTTAGTTATTAATTGAATATGAGGGACAAGGTAGAGGGATTCAAGGATAACGGTCAGGTTTCTGGGTTGGCCAATGGGTGAATATTAAGGTAGAAAACAAAGGAAAAGAAATTGGTCTAAGGTGGGAAGAAGTGATGGGGGTGGGTAGAGAGAGAGAGAAATCACCTGTAGATCAGGGACTTTTAAACTTTTTATGGGGGAGGAATCACAGCTTATTTTGAGAATCTGCTAAGAAGTATGGCTCTTTTCCCCACAAAAAAATGTAAATATACCAATATACCACCACCCATCCCCCAGTTAATTTTGAATAATCTTTAAGGGATTCCACAGACTCCTGAGTTGAGAAAGCCAAGTTTACTCAGGATGGTCAGCAGGGAGTGTTCCTACAGCTATAGCTTAACTGAGGAGGTATCAGGGTGGGTATGGATTGGCAGATAGTGACCCTGCAGCAAGACTAGGCTCTTCCTGGGTAACCTGGAGGTGAGGCAGCTAGGGCGAGTGTCCCAGCATTCTGTACTACCAAAGCCATGTGAGAGCAGAAAGGTCCCAGAGAGGCTCCCTCCTCCCCACCCCAGGTGAAAAGAGAGCAGGCAGGTTTGAGAACCTACCACCGCCCCCCCCCCCAACCCCAGCAATCACTTCTGGAATCTCTCACCACAAAGCTGTAGAAGGGCTCACTTCTGGTTCCAGTATGGGAACAGACCTCCCTTCCTTGCTGGGAAGTGAGTCACCAGATGGGAATTTGGGGAAGAAATGAAGGGAAGGAACCAAAGGCCTTTACTAAGGTCAACTACCTTGGTCACCTGCCTATCTATATTTTTGGGAATAAGCAACAGAGTCAGGAGTCGAAAAGTAGGAAATGAGAAGCTCTAGAATATGGAAATGAGAAGACCACTACCTTCCCAACTTCTTGTCAGGGAAGGGATAATCTATTTTTTTTTTTTTGAGACAGAGTCTCACTTTGTTGCCCAGGCTATGGTGAGTGCCATGGCGTCAGCCTAGCTCACAGCAACCTCAAACTCCTGGGCTCAAGCAATCCTCCTGCCTCAGCCTCCCAAGTAGCTGGACTACAGGCATGCGCCACAATGCCCGGCTAATTTTATATATATATATATAAGTTGGCCAATTTCTTTTTATTTATAGTAGAGACGGGGTCTTGCTCTTGCTCAGGCTGATTTCGAACTCCTGACCTCGAGCAATCCACCCGCCTCAGCCTCCTAGAGTGCTAGGATTACAGGCAGAAGCCACCGCGCCCAGCCGGATAATCTATTTCTGAATCCCTCAACCTGCCTTGGCCTCAGGGCTCTTCCCTCCATTTAGGTCTTCAAAGCGATCAATAGTAATAGCCATTAATTATCAGCAGGAGATGTCAGTTGTCAGCGAATAAATGTTTAGTATGATAGAATAAAATACAAATGTTTATTAATAAAACTTAAAATTTGTTCCAGAAGGAGAAAAGGTAGATTGTTTACATAAAATGGCCAAGATCCGACAACTAGATTGCTCCCTGAAGATCTACTTCACAGATCATTTTGAAAACATCAGCAGCTGTGTTCAGGAAGATTCCCTCTTTGTTTTTCATAAAATTTTCAAACAAGTGAGAATGATCTAAGAATGATGTTGTAGAGCCTAGAGAAAATATTTTCTGTGTGCTACAGGTGAACATAAACAATGTTCTTTTTTGGTGTTTTTGTTTGCTTACTTTTCTAGATTGAAGCATTTCTTTAAAAAATAAAATTTCATTATTTTCAACATTTTAAAGCGTGCTGATTTAAGAAACAGAAAAAATATTAGGAAGCATATATACAGCCTCCTAATAATAATAAGAGGAGAAAAAGCATAAAAGACCAAGGCCAAAGCCAAGAGTGGGGGTGTGGGTGGGGAACAGGGGTAGTACAGACCGTCCCTGGTAACCAGAAATGAGTAAACTCCAACTGCAAGGCGATGATGCCACTTGTCGGCCCTCAGATTGGAGGGGACAGAGATGAGTGACAGGGCAGCGTGCGCTGGGGCTCTGCGCACAGACGTGAGGAAGGGGGTGTCTGTGCGTGCAGGGGGGGCATCCTGTTGACTGGTCGCCGGCCGGCGGGGGTGGGGGGGGGGGCGAGCTTGGCGGTGACGCGCAGCCCACACGTGACCCGGAGCTGCAGAGCGACGCAGCCTTCGGTGCAGTCGTCACTCGCGTCTGGCTACCAGCTCCCCGCTGCCCTGCGCTCGGTGGCGGGCTGGCATCAGGCCCGGGGAAAGCGGAGCAGGTAAGGGCCCCGGGGCCCGCGCCGTAGCGAAGGTGGCAGCTGTTTGGCGACCCTGGCTGTGGGGAGGCAGACAGCGCAGTGGGTCCTGCCAGCTTTCCACACATCCCAACATTCTCGGGAACATAAATAGTGGCCCCCTGCGGTGGGGATTGGGGCGGTTGGGGTTCCAGGGCCAGAATAACTAAAAGCGATGGGAAATCACCTCAAATCCCTGTGGGAAAAACGGTGAACATTGCGGGGGGGCGGGGCGGCGGCGGACGCCAGGAGACGCGGGTCGCGGGCGGCGACGACTAGGGTCGGGGCGGGGAAGGGGCCGGGAGCGCTTGGCTGCAGCAGCCCCCGCGCCCCCCACCCCGCCATCTGCAGGTTTGCAGGGCCGAGTGTCGCGGCGGCGCACCTCGCAGCGAGGATCAAGAGGAGGAGGAGACTGCGAGGATAGGCCCAGGTCGGTGCGCGGACAGGGTGGGGGTTGGGGCGGGTGTGGAGTCCAGTCTGAGGCCCCCTCCCCACTCCCCTGTCTCCTGTCCTCCATTTTGGTGCCTGCAGAAGTCTAGTGATGGATCTGTAGGGAAAATGGTGGGTTTGGGGGGAGGGAGGTGAGAGGACCAAGAGGGAGGGGGAGGGTTCGGACTGGGGGCCCCCTAGAGGGCGCAGGAAACCTCTCAGGTGGGAAAAATGAAATTAAAAAAATAAAAGCGTTGATATCCAGGACGCTGAATCATGAAAAAAAAAAAAAATTAGTGAAGCCTCTGTCCTCGGTGCTGAACTGTTCACCAAAAATTCAGCCCTTTTTCTCGCCTTTTGTCTCCTAGGAGTAATGGAACCCAAAGAAGAGCAGGCCGTAAAAAATATCAGCATGGAAAATGCCCAGATGAAACGCGAAGAAAAGGAAGAAAAGGAGCAAGCTGCTAATAAAGGGGGGGAGCCCTTGGCCCTCCCTCTGGGAGCTGGGGAACACTGTGTGCCTAGGGGGAATCGTAGGCGGTTCCGTGTTAGGCAGCCCATCCTGCATTATAGATGGGACATGATGCATAGGCTTGGAGAGCCACAGGCAAGGATGAGAGAAGAGAATATGGAGAGGATTGGGGAGGAGATGAGACAGCTGATGGAAAAGCTGAGGGAAAAGCAGCTGAGTCATAGTCTGCGGGCAGTTAGCACTGACCCCCCTCACCATGACCACCATGATGAGTTTTGCCTTATGCCCTGAATCCTGATGCTTTCCCTGAACAGGGAGACTCCTGCTTCCTAAATTTACATGTTCGTGATGTATCTTGTTGTAACCTTTTGATGTCATTTGTTTACGTGGGTCTCCTACTACCAGCTTCTAATTGAATGTTGTTGTGTTTTTGACCCAGTCTGTAAGATTTTTGTTAGCAGAAGAATTTTACCTATTGCATGAAATGATGCTCATTATATATTGTGAAGTTAATAAAGCAGTTTAAAAAAGCAATCTGTATTTTTTATTTAAAAATTTATATTAATCTATTTAATGGATGAGGAGAAAAGTGAACTTAAATATACCAAAGGATTAATACAAGGACTAATTTCTGTGAGATGGGTTTATATGTATTCTCATATTTTCTGTAGTTTGAGAAGAAATGGAACCAATAACCTTATGAAAGCAATAAGGTCACTTATTAAATACTTAGTGACCGAATTTGGACCTTTTAGCTAGGTGAACCCAGGAATGTTTAAAAATTGGGGGTGACATTTGCTTCACATGATTGTGAAATGAGGTCATGAATGTGTGATCTGTTTACATGATTTCCCCCTGTCCACACCTATGATGCAAGACTATCATCCTCAGATTTTCCCTTCAGATATTAAGCAGACTGCCCAAAGATAGGCCTCACCAGTCCAGCAATACCTCCTGTTCTCAGTACCACAATGTCTCGTTCATGCTGCAATTTCTGTGTGACAAGAGGTAGGCACTTAACAAAAGTAAAATTAATAATGACTGAGTCAGGAGCTCTGAGTTCTTGTATCAGTACACTCCCTGAATAAGTATATAACCTTGAATGTGTAACTTCTCTTCTCTAGAAGAGATTACTTGTAATTCCTAAAGGAACACTGGATTCATTTAGTAATGTCTTAGTGTTTCTAAAAGTATGCTAATCTGCTACCTCCATGAGAATCACTAGGGGACATTCTTGATAAAGTGGATTCATATGTAGACCTAGGGTCCCTAGATCTACTGAATAGGGTTCTAGAACTTTCGTTTTAAGCAAGCTTCCCAGGTGATGCTGATGCACATTAAAGTCTAAATGGATATTGGTATGTATATATTTATTATGATCTAATTCTTAAATAATAACCATAATAACTAGAAGAATATAAAAGTGAATATTTGAAATCAGTCAAAACATTAAAATGTAAAGTATGAGGTCATTAAGAAGACTTAGATTTACTACATAAAAATTTAATTTTTTATCTCTTGTGGGATATTGGGTAGTTATTTTTTGTACTCAACTACATTTTTCTTAAAGAACATGGATGACACAGGCTAAAAAGAAATAGAAGCTAACAACAGAGTCAGATCCAAAGAACTCTCAGTGAGCTTATAAATGCAATGGAAGCACATAAAAATTCCCACTGACAGAACTCAGATATATAGATTTCATGTTAGACTTAGCTATGGTATTCATACCCTGGTGTGATTACCACTCCTATAGAGCACAGGCAAAATCATTACATCTTGTTTCTAATCAATAAAGCAAAAATGACGGGATGTCACTTCTGTGATAATGTTACAGAAGATTGTGACTTTCATCTTGTTAGCAGACTCACTCTCTCTTTCTTCCTCCCTCCTTCCCTCCACACTTTTTTGCTGGCTTTGATGAAACAATCTGCCATGTTGGCAAGGCACATGCAGGAAGGAACCGAGAGTGTTCTCTAGCCAACAGGTAGCAAGTAACTGAGGCCCTCAGTCAATAATTCTTAAAGAACTGAATCCTGCCAAAACAACAAAAATGAGTTCGGAAGCAAATCCTCCTCCAGCTTAGTTTTCAAATAAAATGCTGGACTTGGCCAACATCTTGATTGCAGCCTTGTAAAAGACTCTGAGATGGAGGACCTAGATAAGCCACACCCAGACTTCTGACTCTCAAAATTTACAGGAAAATAAAAGTGTATTGTTTCAAGTTGCTAAATTTTGGGGTAACTTGTCACACAACAATAGGTAACTAATACAGTATGTATCTCTAAAAAATAATGATGCTTTAAAAATATAACCATAGCACCATTATCACACATGAAAATGGACAATTACTTAATGTCCGCTTGGTGTTCAAATTCCCAGTGGTCTCATAATTTTTAACCCCAAACTATATAAACTACTACAAAATAAGTTAGGTACCTGAGCAAAGCTATTGGCCCCATTAGGTTACAAACAACAGGAAAAACCTGTTAATGTAAAGCTTTCTACTGGGAAGCTGACAAAAGAGTGTGTTTGAGAAAGAGCATCAGATCCAACATAGGCCTGGGGCCACAGACTCTGAAAGTCTAGCAGATGCTAAGAGAAAAGCTAACTTGTTTTATGCAATGAAAATTTAGGGTAGGCAGAGGGTCAGAAAGGGGCAGCCTATTTACAAATGAGTAAACCCAAACAGTCATTTCATATGCTAATATATGCCTTTTTCAGAAGTCTTGGCAAATAGTTACATTTTAAAATATCTTTTAAGTTTTTAATTTTTAAATTTTATTGATGCATAATAGATATACATAGTTTTGGGGTACATGTGATACTTTTTTTTTTTTGAGACAGAGTCTCACTTTGTTGCCCAGGCTAGAGCGAGTGCTGTGGCATCAGCCTAGCTCACAGCAACCCAACTCCTGGCTCAGCAATCGCTGTCCTCAGCCTCCCAAATTAGCTGGACTACAGCATGCACCACCATGCCTGGCTAAATTTTTTCTATATACTATTAGTTCAATTAATCTCTTCATTTATAGTAGAGATGGGCTCTCACTCTTGCTCAGCTGGTTTCGAACTCCTGACCTTGAGTGATCCACCTCCTCGCCCCCAGAGTCTAGTAATAGAATGTGAGCCACCACGCCCGGCCTGTGATACTTTAATATACTCATATGATTTGTAAAGATCAAATCAGTATATTTGGAATATCCATCACTTTAAATATCTGTCTGTTCTTTATGTTAGAAACATTCAAATTATTATCTTCTAGCTATTTTGAAATGTACAATAGATTACTGAAACCATAGACACCCTGCTTATCTATCTAACTCTAGGTCTTATTTTTTCTATCAAAACTGTATAGGCCAGGTGTGGTGGCTCACACGTGTAATCCTAGCACTCTGGGAGGTGGGCAGATGTTTGAGCTCCAGGAGTTCGAGACAGCCGAGCAAGAGCCATCCCGTCTCTACCAAAATAGTAAAAAGTTAGTTGGACGACTAAAAATATACAGAAAAAATTAGCTGGGCATGGTGGCGCGTCCTGTAGTCCTAGCTACTTGGGAGCGCAGGCAGGAGAATCCTTAGCCCAGAATTTGAGGTTGCTGTGAGCTAAGCTGACGCCATGGCACTCTAGCCTGGGCAACAAGAGTGAGACTCTTGTTGGAGACTAAGACCCTCCACATCCCAACGACTTGTCCTACGCATGGGCCTCGCCCCCCAGAAAATAGCCTAAGATGAAAACAGCACCCAGCCCTCCAGCTATAGTTCCGAGAAGAATGCATTCCATGAGTGCTTGCCCAGGGCATGTACCTGCAATTGTTCCCGACCCCTGCCAGGTTGGGGTTGAGTGATCAATCACAAACAGCTCCACCATTGGATGCTGATTGGGCTGATTGGCCCACACCCAAGGCCTCATCACCCACTCATTTGCTATCTACTCTTGTCTTATATAAACTATAAAAATCCAAGTAAAGTAGACCTTGACAACCCTTTGCTTGGTCTCGTTCCTTTCTCTCGCCCATCTCTTTCAGGCAAGGTCCCCCTTGACCCCCGGGAGTAACAAAAGGTCCCTCGGGCTGGGACAGACTCTGTCTCAAAAAAAAAAAAACAAACCTGTATATTTGTACTCATTAATCAACTTTTTTTCATTCCTACCTCACTACTATCCTTCTTGTTCTCTGGTAATCACCAATACGCTATCTTCATAAGATTCACTCTTTTAGCTTCCACATATGAGTAAGAATATGTGATACTTATCTTTCTATGCTTGGCTTATTTCACTTAATATCATGATCTTGGCCAGGTGAGGTGGCTCACGCCTGAAATCCTAGTACTCTGGGAGGCCGAGGTGGGCAGATCGTTTGAGCTCAGGAGTTTGAGATCAGCCTGAGCAAGAGTGAGACCCCATCTCTACTAAAAAAATAGAAAGAAATTAGCTGGACAACTAAAAATATATATAGAAAAAAAATATCATGATCTTCAGCTTCATCCATGTTGCTACAAATGACAAGATTTCATTTTTATGGCTAAATAATACTCCATTGTGTATATATATCACATTTTCTTTATCCACTCATCTGTCAATGGGCACTTAGGTTGATTCCATAGTTTGCCCATTGTGAACAGCACTATAATAAACATGGTAGTGCAGATAACCTTTCCATATATTTATTTCTTTTCCTTTGGATATATACCCAGTGGAATTACTGGATTAGTGGAATTACTGGATTATATGGTAGTTCAATTTTTAGTTTTCTGAGGAACCTCCATACTGTTCTCCATAGTGACTGTACTAATCTACATTCCTACCAACAGTGTATAAGAGTTCCTCTTTCTCCACATCTTTTCAGAATCTGATATTGCCTGTCTTTTTGATAAAAGCCATTTTAACTGGGGTGAGATGGTATCTTATTGTGGTTTGATTTGCATTTTGCTGATGATTAGTAACGTTGAGCATTTCTTCATATACTTGTTGGCAATTTGCATGTCTTCTTTTAACCACTTCCATACAGCACTCACCAGCCTCGAAACCTTGCCCACAGCCGGCCCACCCCTCAATAGTCCGCACGATAGTCTTGTGCCTGTTGCATTGACGACAAAACCGTTTTGCTCTTGTGTATGAGGAAAGTTTAAAGCATTAAAAGCTTGTTTTACTTTATAGGCAGCTTTTACTGTAATGTAAATCAGAATAGTAACATTACATATATGTTTCATTACGTTATTTTTAATATTCACAATTTATTTTGATAAATGAAAAATTAGAAAAGTCATCATGGCTGTCGGCTAAAGTTGTGTGTGTTCATCTGTGGCTATTGGCTATAGTCAACGCTTATATCGAAGTGGTTAAGAAATCAGATCTTTTAACCATTTTTAATTGCATTATTTGTTTTTGCTATTGAGTTGTTTGAACTCATTATGTATTCTGATTGTTAATCCTTTATCAGATGGATATTTTGCAAATATTTTCTCCCATTCTGTCTGCTGTCATTCCACTTTGCTGATTGTTTCCTTTTCTGTGCAGAAGCTTTTTAGCTTGATGAAATC